GACTAAGCCACCCAGGTGCCCCTAAATAAATAAATCTTAAAAGAAAAAATGTATAGGTAATATTTCTGTATGCAAAAAGGAAAAATAATGCAGCCAATGAACAGTAGTTGTCCCTAAAAGGTATATGAACACACACTTCACAGACAAAATAGAAAGTCATTAAACATATGGGATGATGTTCATCTTCACAGAGCAATGAAGATAGGAACTTCTACTTTCTCCATAGTTTGAATTAAAAATACAATTATGCATTATCAAAAAAATTTCCTGTTTACTTTCAAAAGTCTTTATCAAGTCCCTTTGTAAAAAGTAAAATTAAAGTCAAAGTAATAAATTATCACTTTATTAAAGACAAATGTAGACTGTTTATATAAATAAATTATTCCTTCTAACCACATTCATGGATTTTCTCTTTTACTTTTCCTATGTGTGTCTGTCTGTTTATCTGTTCCTGAGATTGTGAGTGTTTCTTCTCTATCCCATGATTATGGTTCAATTTTTTATACTCAAATCTTTCATTTATTTGGAATTCATTGTATATTACACATAATATGCATTATATTTGGTTATATTATTTTTTCCCAATAATTAACCACTTGTGCCAATACCATGTATTGAAGCTCTGTCCAGTTCCACCCATCCCCCACTCCATCCATCCCTCACAGCCTTCACTAAGGCCATAATCATGTTTCACCTGAATTACTTCCACAGGCTTCCAGCTGGCCTTCCTCCATTCAGCACCCACTCCTCCCACCCTACCACCACCCCACCATTCCAAGAATCTGTATGCTAGAGCAACTGTGTCACTTGCCTATTTAAATCCTTTCAATGACTTTCCACTGCTCTTAGGATGAAATCCAAACTTTGTAATATGCTCACAATAAGGGGGGCCCTATAATTTATCCTCTAAAGAAGGAAACAACTGAAATGGAAAGGAGGCTATTAATAATCATGCTGGAACTACAGGCACAAACCAGACTGTTCTTGGGCAAACCAGGTCGTACATGGCCCCCCTACTCAAAAGATCCCCTGTCCAGCTCTGAACTCCTGCCCCCTCCTCTTCCATAAGCTACTGTTCAACCACACTGAACTTATTTTCATCCTCAAACTGGACAAGATATTCTCTTTAAGGGGATTCACATACTATTCACCTTATTTAAAATACCTATTTTCAGAGGCGCCTGGGTGTCTCAGTCGGTTAAGCATCTGACTCTTGATTTTGGCTCAGGTCACAATCTCAGGGTTGTGAGATCAAGCCCCAAATTCAGCTCACTGCTCAGTGGGAGTCTGCTTGAGATTCTCTCTCTCCTGCCCCTCCCCCCACCCTCTGTCTCCCTAAAATAAATACATCTTAAAAAAAAAAATCTATTTTCACATCCCCTCAACTCATCTCTCCTATTCCTTCTTTTGGTTACCTCAAACTCAATCTTCAGGGCTCAATTTATATGCCACTTCCTCTGGCAAGTTTTCTTCAACCCTTCCCCCACTCCCTCCTCCCTCCCCAAATTTAGATTTAGCATCCCTCCTCTGATTTCCATGGTGCTTTGTTTTTTTTTTTTAAGATTTTATCTATTTATTTGAGAGAGAGAGAGAGAGAAAGCGTGAACTAGGGGAGGGGCAGAGGGAGAGGAAGAGAGAGAATCCCAAGCAGGCTCCATGCCCACCACCCCAAGATCATGACCTGAGCTGAAACCAAGATTCAGACATTTAACCAACTGAGCCACCCAGGCGCTCCCTCCACAGTATTTCATGTGTTCTTTCACCCTGTATTTCTCCCGTCAGCTTCATTAACCTTCACGAATCTTCTGCAAGTTGTATCTACAGGGCCCGGCACATAGTAGGCACTGGACACTTGAGAACGAATGAAGATCTGACTCTAGTGACACAAATAACCGGAGAAAGTTTTAAAACTTTCCAAAAAGGAATCGGCAGGTCTGTAGGATACAAGTATCATCCTTCTCATAGTGGCTATGTATTTGGCTGTATAGATCTGTGTGTGTTCACAAAAATCATTATTACTTTGGAGGTGCAGGTTTCTTTTCACTACTGTGAACTAAATATTTTAAATGAAACAGCCCTCTTTAACAAGCACATAATTACTTCCCTTCTCCACTAAAAGTTAAAAAACAGTATTCAAATTAACACCCTGGAGTAATGCTTTTCATATTTAAACTGTCAGTTCAACTTATAATTCATGTATACCTGTCATATTCTGCTGTACCTTGCTTCTGCTTTAAAAAAAAAAAAGGAAAGCAAATATTTTCGTTTACTAAATGACTTCTTAAAGTAATTACCTAAAAAAAGTGAAATTCAAATTGATGGTAGTTAATGTAATTGATTTCAAGGAAAGCAATGTTAAATGTTAGGTCATAAAGGGAAGAAAGATTCTTCCCCTGCCCCAGGACTGGCTAACTAGAAACGGCCACTGCCAACTGAGACATCTTGCGTCTGCAATCCTACCCACTTCCCACACATCACTTCCTGAAAATACATCTTTCATGCTGACTTCTCACCCATTCTCTTATCACATGGCTATATAAACATAAAAAATTTAAAAAGTATTCGTCTAAAATATTTTCACCATAACAAAGTTCCAGGATTTAATTATAAGGTTGTATCCAATGGTGCTGAATACCATCTAAAATCATAACCTCCCTCTCAAGCCAAATACCAGTTTCCATCCAGTATAATCTCTTCTTTATTAGCTATTCCATTCCAAACACTCTTGAAAAGAATACCAAAATCATGTTGTTGTTTTTTGTCGGGAACATTCTTCTTCAATTTCTAATACTCAAACCAAGACAGCACTCTCAATGAAGAGTTTAACAAGTTGCACAGCTAACCTCACCATTCTTTGGCTCATATTAACTCATGTGTACTCTGAGACCAAATGAAGACATCTCAGAACTTTCTCTACCTATGAATCTCTTACTCTGAGATTTGTCTTTAACCTTTCTACATACTTTGTCTTTAATTTCAAGGAACTATTTTGCTCTAAGCTGATCCTTATTCTTTTAGAACTAAAATTCAACCAATCTCCTCTGTACCAGTATAAGTCAATTACTCTAAATTACTAATTATAATCCACTTATTCTTGACAGCATTTACTTTACTTCTAAGGATTAGGAATTATAGCTTGTATATGTTTTCACCTCATCTTTTATTTAATACTATCTTTTCTGACCATTAACTTAAGACTATTATAGCAAAGGAGATTTTTCAAGGAAGGCAGAAATCAGTTTTTGCACCGAGGCAGAAATATTCATCCGACAGCCTAGATACGCTTCATAGAAATCATCATAAGATAACTGATCATTTTGGGGCACCTGGGTGGCTCAGTCAGTTGAGCATCCAACTCTTGGTTTCAGTTCAGGTCATGATCTCAGGGTTGTGAGATCGAGCCCCATGTTGGACTCCACACTCAGCAGGGAGTCTGCTTGAGATTCTCCCTCTCCCTCTGCCCCTCCCTCCCACTTGCACTCTCTCAAATAAATCTTAAAAAAAAAAAAAGATAACTGATCATTTTAATTACATAATCTACATGTAATTCTGACTCATGGATAATACTTCACATGTAATTGCAGCAGTATCAAGTCCAAAATGTACAGGTTATAGGATATAGTGCATTAATGACCTTAGAATTAACAGGAAAATTTTTAAATGACTTCTGTTGACCAAGCACCTTTGGAGGAAAGATAAATGATATACCTGGAAGAAAAATGGCAAGGGAAGGAGCAAAATAGGTGAAGAAGATTAAGAGATACAATCTTCCGGTTATAAAATAAATAAGACACAGGAATGTAATATACCACAGAGAAAATATAGTCTATAATATTGTAACAACTTTGTACGGCGACAGATAGTAACTAGACTAATTGTGGTGACCATTTTGTAATGTATATAAATATTAGATCACTATGTTGTACACCTGAAACTAATACAATATTGTTATGTCAACTATTCTTCAATAAAAAAATGGCAAGGAGAATTGGAATCTGCCTACTGGTATTTTACTAGTATTTTACGCTGGGAAACTGCTCTTCTCTGTAAAATGGTAATATATATTAAAACATGAATCAGTAGAGGGAGAGGAGATGGGGAAGACAAAGAGGGAGGGGAAAGAGGAAAGCTGAAATGATCCTATAAAAAAATAGATATAGCTGTCAAATATATTGGAATACCTTTCACTAACCAAGTAAAATGAGCCTAAACAAAATCACTAGTAGGTTCTGTATTCTGTACTCTTACCTTCGTTTAAAAAGAAACTGACCTTGAAGTGACATTATATTCACTGACTTAAATCCTGAGCTTCCCAATTACAGTATTCTGTAGTTGGTCACATTATCATCAAAAGCTCAACTTGTTTTCCTTAATGGAATTTGGGTTATGAAAATACTGCACACTATTTGAAAATACATTCACTTGAAAATTGATGCTCAAAATAAAACTCATCTGAAGTCTCAGAAAGTGGCCCCTCTGGAAGATATTTATTACACGTCCTCACCTTCACATTGGGTTTTGACAGTAGTTTCAACAGCTCTCTGGTCTCACTGTTTAATGGCTTGTTCTGAAGCTCTTCAGCCAACTGCAAGGGACAGCACATTGACAGAACATTTAGTAAGAGCATGGTGTGGCTCCATGTGTGACAACTGAGAATCTATCTTGCCACTTTCCAGTGATTAAGAAGTCAGCATGAAAGAAAACAGACCATCAATCATTGCTCCTCTTTTCAGGCCCTTGGTAGCCCAGATCCCAGCCCAGGATCTTGGCTGAGTATAACTCAAAAAATCCCATCAGCCAGATCACCTTCTCTGATTTATTGCAATAAGGGCAAACCCCTGCGCTTCATCTTAAGGAATGGCCTTTTACATGCAAACAAAGGACCACTTGTAAAAAGGACTGGATCAGGCTTTGACACTATTTTAAAAAAAGAGAGAGAAAGAAAAAAATGAAAAAAAAAAAAGTTTCTGAATGAGGTGGTGAAATTCACAAGGTTTCCAAAAACCCACAGTAGCTTGCTGTTTAGAGCTGGAGGAAAAAGAACTAGAATGTCTCTAATAGAGCAAATGGTCTGAAACTTTTATTATGTTTACCTACACAGACTAAAAAAATCCGTTAAGTATAAACCAGGTTAATCATAGAATGACTTACAATAGGTTGACAAGTACTCTGGGAACAGAAATGCTGACTATATTCTACTATAACGATCAAGAATTCCCATTTGCTGGGCACCTGGGTGGCTCAGTTGGTTAAGCGACTGCCTTCGGCTCAGGTCATGATCCTGGAGTCCCGGGATCGAGTCCCGCATCGGGCTC